AAGGGTTTCCTCCATATGGAAAACACCATACTTGGGAAAATTCACTTAGCATTGGGGTTAAGGGACAGAAAGGGATGTTCTCACTGATGCTTCTTCTCTTTTGTTGTACATCAAACCATGAGGGATGCTGTTATGTTATCCACACGACAGTTATTGTTGCTTTTGGTCCTGGATTATATACCTACAAAATAAGGCCATGTCTGAAAGGATGTCCAGAAGCCAAACCACTATAGATTTTATCTTGATTTTCTAAGTCTCACACTTTGCACTGGCCACCGTGGCAGGGCTGTAACTTCTTCTGCCACAGAAATCACTCCCTTCCCCCTGTGAATTGATTCTGTTAAAATCTAGCAATTAATTACACAGAAAGATAATTTAATCTTTGAATCTGCTGCTAACGTGGGGTTACGTGACTACCACTTGTCATCAAGTCAAGTTTTCCTGCCTGCAGTGTGACCAATGCTGTTTCTGCTGTCTGCAGAATAACCTGGCAGGGTGTTCATGCCATACCACACACTCCACAGATTAAAAGGTGACTTGGATTTGTTCTCAGGAAGATCTCTGGTAGTAAGGACTTTTTTATCTAAGAGCAAAAAGCCTGAGAAAACACTTTGGACACTTAAGCTAGAGAGTCCCTCTTTGCAATGACTCATATGTTTGGTGACTGCATTTAGCTTCTACAACAGTTGGTTAGTTTTGTTTTTTTTTTAAGGAGTTGATTTATCTGGAGGCATTAAACTGTGATCAGTTGCAGATGATGAGTTTGAAGCAGGAGAAATAAATGTAGCTCCTGCACTCAGCTCTGTAAAGAACCATATTTGATTACCAGACTGGTTCCTATAGGCCCTAAAACCTATGAAACCATACATCATCTCCTTGTGCTGCTCCAAGGACGTCCAGAAAATGAGTTCACAAATCCACCAGCTTCTGCAGACACCACTCCAATGCTGGGGTGCAGATGTCTTGATCTCAGACATAGGAGCTTTCACGGCAGGAATTTAGGGCATAATAGGTTTCCTGTCTTCAAAGGAACATGGGATCTTTTCTTCTCAGAAGCTTGAGTACATGATACTATGCATCTCCACGTTTCTGCTTCTTTTGAACAGCTACAGGGTACTTGGATGCTGGGCCTTGAAAAAGTCCAGCTTGAAGAGGGTGTAGCTCGAGAGCCAGGTGTTGTGAAAGGGTTTTCACAGACTTCCTTCCTCATTCAGCCATGGTTTTCATCCTGTGGTTGAAGTGACTGCCTAACCTCTGACCAGTCAGATATCCATCCTCATCTTTGGAAATAAAGGGCTTTGACCCCCTGGTTCACCAACATCACACCTTCGTTCTACCCCAGGATGGTGTTAATCCAGGATGCCCCAGTATTGACGAATGGACTTAGAGGTGCTACTGCCCTTTGTGGGCTAGGAAGGATTTCCCCATTCTCCAGACTCTGGTTTCTACAGCTCCACTGCTACGGTGAAAATGATACCCTCAGCACTGAAGCTGAAGTTTAATTTCCTATCTACTGCTCAGGGCACAGATTTTCCACTGGGATATTGGCAGCAGGTCAGAAATCTGCATTCCAAGTTGAATTGCTTTGAAAACTGTCCTGGGGCGGGACCCCATTCAGTCTGCTGCTTGCAAAACCCAGCCTGGCCACTGAAGACAATCCCAGCTCTTGCTCTCTCAAGATTTTGTGTGAAAATCCCTCACATCCTTGAGTCACAAATCAGCTAGTCCATATTTAGTTGCTCTGTAATTGCCCTTTACAAAGGCCCAAGGAATGAAAGCCACCAGTAATGTTTGGTATTAGCTGCATGCCTCAGCTTTTGGATTTGAACAGAGTACAACTATCTTCCTCTTCCAAGGCCTTCTTTTCTTTATGAGTCTTCAGGGACCTGCCAGGGGACAAAATGTGAATTATCTCTGATTTTGCTCTCTGAGCACTAAACAGTTTCAAGTAGACAAATGAAGATGATTGTAAAGATAATACAAACCTTTCTTCCTTTTCTGGTTATCTCCCAAAGCACATTTTCTCTATCACCCAGTGTGCCTTTTTTGTTGATTTCTTGCAAAATGCAGAAAAAAGGCTGCAATGGTATGGGGCTGACAGGCTGTGTAAGAGCAGAGATTTGCCAACTCTGGCAACTTCAGCTTCATACTGGGCAGGGCCAGAAGCTTCCAAGAAAGATGGAGGCAATGGTTGAGTGGCATTTATTCTAATTTATTTTTGTTATTGAATAAACATTGAATTATTGAATAAACATTGAATTATTGAATAAACACTCCCATCCCACTGACTGATGCCCAGCTTGAGCAGTTGCACCTCTCTGTTTTTAATTGTATTGAACATTCATGCTGCATTTCATGTCTTTTGGTGATACTGTGACCCAGCTTCATGTCAGCATGGCAGGATTGTTCACAGAAAGTCATGCAGAGTAAACCAATATTTTCTTTTATTTGCCCTGCCTGCTGCCTTTCATTGCACCACATATCCCTCACCATTAAGCAGAATCGTTCCTTAAACTGCCCAGCAGACATGCCACACACAGTTAAATCCATGTAGTCTTTTCCAGGGTAGATTTGCCTCTAGATTTGCAGGGCTGGGCCAGAGATGCGGGGTTGTACAGGGGTGCTGCACACCTACAGGCATGGCTATGGACACCCAGTTGTGTTCTCGCTGCTGTGCCTCTGGGGGACTGAGAAGGGGTGGATGTGTTTGGGCTCTACAAAGGGCACACCTGGATGAAGGTGGATCAGGATAATGTAGCAGATAGGGCCCTCCCAAAAATGATGGATTGTATTTTCACTCATAAGGACATAAAGTTCACATGAACTCCCTCCCCAAGATGCTACAGCAGGTGAAAGCCCCACATCATGGTGTGGAGTTAGGGTGTCCCCGGGAGCCTGCTGCAAATGCAGCTGAGGCCGCCATGTTAACACAAAGCACCAATTCAGCCAAGAGAGCAGAGATGACAATACAGCTTCTCTCTCCAAGAGCTACTGCTCGTGTGAAGTCTCTGCCTGGAGACTGTACTGACCTTGGCTTGGGAAGGAGCAAAGAAGAGGAAGAGACCCCTGCCAGCTTGCCCAGAGGTACCTGCATTCCCATGGAGAACAACTCCTACGCAACTCTATTTGAACACGGCCCATCTGCCACCGTGATGGCTCAGAAATAAAGGCGACTTTGTTTTGTAGCAAGCAGGTGTCTTCAGTTCTCCAAGTTCAAGAAAAGCCTTGAAGGACAAACTTTTTATTTACCTTTCACAGACTCCTAGAAATACACCACAAATCTTCTGCCACGAGGGATAGGAGCAGCTGATCTAAATGTTTCATACCGAGAGGGTTGTGTCCATTTCTGCGCATAGTTTAAGTCCTGCTCTAAATTTTTTTTTATCAGTCAGCTGCAAGGCAGTTGTAAGCCAAAGGAAATTTGAGATGTTCATTTCATATGTAGCATACAGACAGTAAAATCACTCTGAAAAGCAGAGGCATTCCTCATTATCCTCCAGGGTGCTGCTGCTCTGGGAGGAGGGGTGCTCCTGTCTCTACAGATTCAGCAAGTCTCATGCAACAGGCAAACTATGTAACTGCTTTCCATCCCAGGCCAGTGGAGCCCGTTTTGCCAAGGGGCGGTGCCATCTCCCCCTGCTCCCTAGCACCCGCAGGTGGTTGGAGGGCACACAGATGGCCACATCACTGTGGCCACACTGCAGTGCCACTCGCCTTTTGATTCACCTCGACCTGAGTTCTGCCTTGCTCCAGTCATTCCTCTTGCAGGGCGTTTCCAATCTCTCCCACATCGCTACTGCCCATGCCGGCTGCTAATCCTATTTACGCTGAGCACACTAGAGCCAGATGTGGGGACACCAGTGTCCGTGACTGCAGCAGCACTCAGAGTGCATCCATTGGTTCTGCTGGGAAAGCCAGTCACAGGCGAGCAGATTTCAACTTCCCACATACCTTTCCTCCCTTCTTTTTATTCTTACAGGAGCAAAAAAAAAAAAAAAAAAATTGAAGTGAAATACTTAACTCGCCCTCTCTCCCTGAGCTGGTGCCTCTCGATTCGTTCCCAATGAACTGCAGGCTTGTAAACGCTGAGCTGAGTATTACACAGCTGCAATCTCAGCCACGGAATTTCGAGAGGGTCTGTGTTGTGCCCATGCTCTTAACAACATCACCCACTCCACCAGCTGATGGCTTTGTCCCCCCTGCCAGGGTTCTAAGGGAGGAGGGGGAAAACCCAGGAAACCTTCCTGCTTGCCAGGAAGGTCACAGCAAACCGTGTGAGTCGTATGTGGCGGAGGGTGCCTGCAGAGGGGCCGGGACGGTGCTCCCTGGGGCGCTCCCCGAGGATCCCGGCAGGAGAAGGAGCGGCCCGCGCCGCTCCGTCCTAACCCTGCACTCCTCGCGCCCGCCGCGCGTCCCTGGCAGCCGCCTCCCATTGGCCGCCGCTCGGCGGCGCCGGCCAATGGGCGGCCGCCGCTGCGGGCCGTTGGAAGCGCGCCGCGGCGACCGTTACTCGGCGGGGGTGGGGTTCGGGCCGGCCCGCCCGGCCCGTGAGGGGCCGCGGCACTCGAGCCCTGCGCGCCGCGCCCGCAGTCGCACTGCCCTGAGTGTGCCTTGAGCCGCCGTCGGTCCCTCCTAGGTCCTGTGGCGCCTAGCGCTGGAAATTGTAAATCCAGGCCCTTGGCACGGATGCGCGGTGGAAGGAGGTTTCTTCAGCGAGCTGTGCTTGAGCCTTACAGGGACGAGAGGAGGCTCCGGGGAGAGCTTATCGCTCTCTACGACTACCTGAAAGGGAGTTGTAGCTGAGTGAGGGTCGGCCCCTTTTCCCAGGCAACTAGCGAGACGAGAGGACATAGTCTTAAGCTGCAGGTATAGGTTGGACATTAGAAAGAATTTCTTCAGGGAAAGGGTGATTAGACATTGGAATGGACTGCCCAGGGAGATGGTGGAATCACTGTCCCTATAGATGTTTAAAGAAAGACTGGACGTGGCACTTAGTGGTGATTACATGTGCACACATGATGGTGTTTGGTCATAGGTTGGACTTGATGATCTCAGAGGTCTTTTCCAACCTAACCAATTCTGTGACTCTCTGATTCTACAGAACAGCAGCAAATTCTGGGCCTGGTTCTAAATCAGGTTCGGTTTGGTCCACTATGCAGTCCAAAGTTGTTATGCTGAAGGTAATCAGGTGACTTGGGCATTGCCATAGCCTCTGGGAAAACTGAGGGGTGCTGCTGGTCCGAGTGCTGTCCTGCTGCTGGAGAAAAATGGCAATGGAGTCCACAGACAGTTTGGCCTTTGGTGCTTCAGCCATGGCATACAGAGAAGCAAGAACAGCGAGGGGGTAGCAGGTCAATGGCAAGTTGTCCAGGCAGATCGGGGACCTGGGCAGACCAGGCATGGAGCAGCAGGGAGCAGTGGTACATGGGGGAGAGACCAGGAGCAATACAGGTCAGAATAGAGGGGTACCAGAGGGGTCTGAGAGAGCCAAGAGGTGACTGAGTGATCACTTGAGCGCCTCGGGGTGCACATGCACCAACTGGACTGTGTGGAGAAGTGTGCACAGCATCTGTCCATCCTGCCTGAATCTTGTTAACATTGTTGAGAACTTCACTTTCATAAGGTCTAAAATTCTCTGCATTTTAAAGAGAGCAGAAGGACTGTCTGGAGTGTATGGGCTCTTCTTTCCTGGAATGTAAAGAAAACCTCGGCTCTGCAGCTGGAGTGCAGGGGGCTTCATTCCTTAGTGAAAGCAGAGAAGGGAAATGCAGATGTCACAGCTGGGACAGGAGATTTATCTTGGCAAGCGAAGAGGAAAAATACTTTCAAAAAGAAAAGAGAAAACTCAGAAGAATCCACTCCCCATCTTCACTGCCTGCCAGCATGAACAGAACCTCCAACCTGCAAAGGCCTTTGGTCTCCTGGGCCTGGGCTGCTGCCCAGCTGGATTAGCTCCTCGCTGCTTTCTCTTTGGAGTGAGACTGTTGTGGTGGGACCAGAGAGGCTGTGAGAACCAGGCTGATCCTGAAGAGAGACTGTCTCCAAACAACTCAGCTGGAGGTGGGAAAGGAAAAGTCACAGTCAAAAGATGGAAGCATGAAAAGGAAAAGGAGGGACAGATGCAGCCAGGATGACTATGGAGAACTGGATGCAGGGAGAGGAAATCATCCCCTCCTCAGCCATGCACGGTGCCCCTGGGCTACAAGAGTGACACCTTAAGGCATCCCATGCACAACCAGGCAGGGGAGAAGGCTTAGTGCCTCAGTCTCTGCTTGGGGCCTCCAGAGGTCTAACACCAGGTCTGGGTGGGGAGAAATGTAGAGCTTGCATTTGGATGTCTGGATGCTTTATATTAGCTCCCAAGATAACTGTTGTACAACAGGAAAGGGTGTTCGAATGAGAAGTGCACGCACGCACATACAGTGTGCTATTTAGACAACCCTAAGCATGAGGTCAGGATGAAAACATGTGGTGGAAATATGTTTGGAAGAGTCAGTGCCTGTGTCAATCACCCAGAGTGGGAGGGAGCAGGAGCCAGCAGCTGACAGATTCTTACTTTCTCCCCATAGCTGAGGTGGCCTCAGCTTGAGCAGATTCTCCTGTGCACCATAACAGCTTAAGGCTCTCTGTTGGGCCTAGAGATGTGATGGCCATTGCCTCTCCATACTTGTGCACACTGGCTAATCCTCTTTGGGCGCTGCCTCCCTGTCCTCCTAGAACTGGGGGGGGGGGGGGGGGGGGGGGATGGGCAGCCAGAAATCAGGCTTGGATCAGAAATCCAGCACATCCTCACCATTGCATTTCTGTCCCTTGGCTGCCCCCTCCCTGACCGCTCACTGGTAATACAGCTTTGGAAACACATCTCGTGCTATTTCTTGGCTTTGGAGCATAGTTAGAAGGAGCAGGAAGGAGGGTGTGAAAGGGAGGGGGGAGATAACAGGAGCGAATAATGCAAAATGAGACTATGCTGTGAGCTTCGTATCCCATCTGGAAGCTGTTTTCCCCCAGTACACTGCACACCCACTCCCTCTGGGCTAGGATGGTAGGGGTCAAGTTTCCCAGTTGACTGGTCCTCTTTACTAAAGCCAGGCCCATCTGTGCAAAATCTACTCGAGAGAATCTCAATAGAGTGGCAGAGTCCTTCATTGTCACAACTGTCTTGGCCAGTCCTCTGAGGAGTGGGAGCTGGCTGGAAGGCGCTCTCAAAGAGTTTAGGTCTTGAAGAGGCTGTGAGAGGATGAGCCTGCTCTGCTCCTGTATGTCTGTCTATCCCACCTTCCTTCACGTCTGAGTTTTGGGGACTCTTTCTTGGACCTTCCCTGGTCCGCTGAGATCATTGTTGCCATTGTGTTAGCAAAGGTCTCCCCAAAGCCTAGCATGGTCATGTCATTTTGCGGCAGCACATGAAGGCCTTTAGCTGTGCTGGCCCCACTCTGGGTGGGAAGGGCACCCAGCACCTTCTTTTGGCATGTGACCTTCCAGCCAGGATAAAGCTACTAATCCATTTGGTCAGTGTGCTTCTGTGTATTGCTCAGAAGCTCGTGCTCTGCCATGATCTGCACAGCCGTGAGACACCATACCCTGGGACATGCAGTTTCTTGAAGCCTTCTCTCTCACACGTGCAAAGGAAGAGTATGGCTGAAGCCTGAGTTTTGCCAGATAAGTGCAGGTCCGAAAATGAGGCAGGGTGGGACAGAGTTTGCCTCTTCTGGGTTAGCAGGCTCAAACTGAGCTAATTAGCAGTGGTTTTGATGGCATCTATCCAAAATAAACTCTGGGCTGCTCCTCACTGTACCCATCACAGTTGAATCTAGACAAGAGGACTCTTTTTCCTCTTACCATGTGGTTGCATGCACAGCTGCCTTATACTAATAAGAAATCTAAAATTAACAATACCTGTTGGATTCAGGAGAGAACGGAGCCAACCCAGAGACCCAGCAGTCTTCCTGGGATGTGGTGACAGCTTCCTGCTGGTCCTGTAGTTTCCATTGTGGATATAGCCAGCTACAAAGCCGTGTCATTATATTTGTTTGCTTTACTCTTACTGCTTCTACTTTCCTCTGGTTCTTGCCACCTTCTTTGAGTAAAATAGCAATCTCCAGCTCTGCGTCAGCTCTAGGTGCTATCGCTCCTTGAAGGTGTTGGATTCTTGGTGCCCCCTTTGATACTAAACATAGTTATTCCCAGTCTCATAGGCTGTCATCCTTCTCTCCATCATCTGCGTTTGGAGATGCTGGACTGGTATATGTGTGAGTGATGAGAAATGAAATGGGGCTGCTTTGGTGAGAAAGCTTTGCCAGTATTTAATTGTGATGGAGGATAAGACCCAGGGGCCCAGAGGGGGGTAGGTGCCCCAACATTTCTGGAGTCCCAGGGAAGGTGCAGGTTTCGTTATCACCTTTTTTTATCACCTATGTTTTCCCTGTCCTGTATAGTAGGTCTCTGTCTCTTGGGAGAGAGTGGTCTCTTGGAGATCTAACTCCTGTGTCTTTTGGAGAACAGTGTTGCCTTCCTCCTCGCTTCCAAGCAGTGAGGCCCTCCAACAAATCTGCTATGATATCAAAAAGAATCAAAAACCCTGTAATTACTCCCGCCGATGTTGGTGCCTGTGTTAAGGCTCTGATGCTTGATCCCTTGCACTCCTTACTCATCTCTCACTCCTCAGCAGCTGCTGGGGTGATTTTTTTTGTTTAGGAGTATAGCCAGAGGCCCATCTCCGCCTCTTCCCTCCAGGTAGGTTTGTCCTACAATGGAAAGATTGTTGACTGACCGAGAGAGTTCGTTGTTCTAAGTGTGGGTGGGATGCCACTAAAAGATAATCCGTGGAACTACTGCATAAATGCATTCTCTTGACTCTCTTCACTCCCACCTCTGCCTTTGTTAATGCACAGTTGTGAAAGAAATTTGAAGCACATGGCAGAGTTGCAGACAGCTCTCCTCACAGCTGTCCATCCAGCTCTGCTTCTCCTCCAGGGCTACACAGTGGTTCTACTTTTGATGGTCACAACAGTATATGATTTGAATGCCTTTTGTATCCCGGCTCTGCTATGCCATGGTGTGCCAGAACTCCGAATCCCTTCACTTCTCTGTGGTTATGTTCTCGCCCTTTCCGTAAGGCTATCATGTTCATATCCTGTGTTTGCTTGTGTTGTTTAGGGAACACAAGACAAAGAACAGCTGTTACATGAGCAGGCGCTCTCTGGGGTTAATTCTCAGGACTCCAAAGTCTTTATCCCTCTATGCTGTAGGATAGGACAAAACCTGGTTTTCCAGTGGTTTTAGATAACTGTCTAACCTAGTTCCATCTGCTGCCTCAGCTCCCTCTGAAGAAGTTACGCTCTGCCCAGATGGAAAGTGTTTTCTGTCACTTGATTCAAGTGCAGAAATGCTTCTAGGCAACTTGGAAATGGATGGGTAGATTTTACCAAGCTACCCCACCAACTCTGCGTCTGCTATGGGAACAAGTGGAGAAAACTTCAGCCCAGACATCCAGGGAGGGCCTCAACACTGGGATTTAGCATGAGCATGCCTTTTCTGCCTTACTTTCACGTGCCATGTCTGCTCTCCAGGGAAGCCTTGGACAGTGGTGTTGGGCTGTCACTCCAGGCAGTCAGAGGACAACTGGCGAGGAAGCAAAAGGAGAGAAACCTCATGTCAGGCAGAATGCAAGTGGCAGGGATTTCACCCTCACTTCCAGCATGCTCTGTGAGCATCTGAGGTTTTATATTGAGCAGATGAGGGATGATGTTGGAGGGTGAAAGGCACTGTCATGTTCAAGATTGCTGCAGCTCACCATCTCCCTCCCCTACTTGTTGGAAGCATGGGTCTGTTCAGCCAGAGCCTACTTCACTCCCCAGCCTCACCCCAACCCTCTGACAGCCAGTGGAATGTTGACAGAACTATTGTGCTCTGGTAAAACAAATATACCTTCCTGTAGGAGCAGGAACCTAAAGGCTCCAGCATCCGGGGTCCTGTGGCCACCTCCTCCCTCAGTCCTAGCACTGGGGGAAGAAAGGACTGCATGCACTGCCAACTTCTCTGGAAGCCAGGCTCTTTCCTGAGCTCAGCTCTCACGCTGGAATTCATTGGCATTCGTGTCTCCCCTCTAGGATCTGTGTGCTCTGTCCCACTCTTATCCATACCCTGTTGCTCTTGGTATTTCAATATACTGCTTTCAATGCCTTTCTGCCCACCCAGATGCTTTTCCAGGCAGGGGGTTGGGGTACAGACCCAGTCTGACTCTGCTGAGCTCTCTCCAGTTCATTTAAGTTACACAGTTCCGTCTGTGTAATACAGTCACTTGAATCTATCTGTCTTTTCTTTCCTCTCCCCGAGCCAGAAGCCTCAATCTGCCAACAAATGGGATAATTTTTCAGCTGGTGTTTGGCAGCCATCATTTTTCTCCCTGCCTAACCAATGCTTTGTTGTTGCAAATGGAAAAGTTAGTGATTTGACTTCTGAAAAGGAGGATATGCCTCAAAGGAAGCAGGTTCGCTGTAGCATCAGGAGCCCAGCTCCGCAGCAGAACCGGCCAGATTTACTAACTGTTACTGGAATGATTAGTGGAATGATTGTTTGTTGTTAACAGCCCATCTGTAGTGTTTAAACTTCATCGGGGAGCCGAATTTCACAGGCATTATCTGGCTGGAGTACAACCTCATATGGTCCACAGAGGGGCTGTTAAATCCCAGAGGAAATTAAATACAACAGGGGGCCTTCCTGTTATGTTGATCCAACTGATCTTTTTTTCTCTGATAGAAATCAGCAGCTGGGTCGATGTTCTCTAGGGCATCAGTGTGCCTATTGCTGCTGGCAGAGAACATGAGAAAGTGTCTGTCACTAAGGACAGGCACTGAAGACCATGATTTTCTGACACACTTGCATTTTGTCATCACAGGAATTTCTTGCCTTGTGCTCTACTCAGTTTGTTGTCACAGCGAGATGGTGCTAGGAAGATGCAGATAGGTACTCACAGGGAAAGGGAGAGATGAGAGAATATAGAAGTTTCACGAGTGTTTGTGGCATAGATAAACAAGCAGTGATGTACAGCACCATATCCCTTTCTATCTTAATTAAAGGTGTTTTTGTCTACCTGATGCAGGCAAGGAATAGGAAGTGCTTTTTCCCATCCAAAAAGGGTTGTCACTAAGGTTCAGCTCTCAGTGCAGAGGAAGGCTCTCAGACCCCCCTTGGAGTTGGCACTAACGCTCTCTCTCCCTTTGTCTGTTCTCAGCATTTTTCAGACAACCTGGATCACTTCTCTGACAACATGGAGGATTTCTCCAATGACCTCTTCAGCAGTTTCTTTGATGACCCAGTATTGGCTGAGAAGAACCCATTGCTGGACATGGACCTGGATCCACCCACTCCAGGCATCCAGGCAGAGCACAGCTATTCCCTCAGCGGAGACTCTGCTCCCCAGAGCCCCCTTGTGCCTGTCAAGACTGAAGATAATACTAATGGTGAGCATGAGATGTGCACACTGCACAACTTTGGGCACATCTGTTAGCAGAGGCTCTGGCTGGCTTCCCTGTATAAGGACAAACTGGCTATTCCTTGGGCTTGCGCGTGGCTAATCTGGGGAAGAATGTGATCTGCAGTTGTCAAATACAGCCTACATTTTTTCCTTCCATTTTGTGCTCTGACAATCATATTGCTCCTTTGCCGGGCTTACTGTTATTTATGAGGATGATAATTGGCTGTGGTTCGGTGTGCTGCCAGCTTATGACAAGCAATAGACAGTGTCTTTTTAGGATCCTGCAAACTTGGGTGTGGATGCCCTAGATCCAGCTCCATTTTGGCATGAGGCAGTAGGGTTTTGGCTTGAACATAGGAAGCATGAGTGCTGCTACATGTGGAAGGCTTCTTTACCAGCAGATCTTTTAGCAGGAGACAGAGAGGGACAGTAATTTCAAGACTTATTTTTAAAACAATTCATTTCAACATAATTTATGATGGCTGGATATTTTTAGAGCCATCCTTACAGAGAGTCCTGTAATTTGTGGGACTGTGTGGGTGTCCCAACAGCTGATGGACACCACGCTGCCTGAAAAAGCAGTGGCACAGGCTCAGTATACACAGAAGAAAGTCATTCCTTTGAGCAAGAGTGAGACCTGGGACAGAGGCTTCCCTCTGATGGCCAGGAATGATCCCAGTTCTCTGGTCCAAATGCCAAAGCAGGAGAAGAGGAGGCTCGCCTCTGCTGCCTCTTTTCTTTGGTCTCTTCAAAGGGCACAACTATCTGCCACGTTCCTTAGGGGCAACTCAGAAAGGTGCTGGGAGAGAGGTTTATGGCAGGCCAAGCAGCTCTGCCTTAGTATCAAAAAAGCTTTCCACTTACATTTCTTCTTCCTTAGCTTTAACTCCGGTACAGTCTTTGAGGGGGCAACTTAAAAAAAAAAAAAACAACCCAGCATGAACAAATAAACATATCTTTATTTTGACCCTGAAAATGAATAGGAGGAGAAGAGACTTGGGAATGACAGAAGGAAAAAGGATGATTTTGTAGAAAGCTGTGAAATTGAGACTGCCTACATGAAGCTACCTCAGGGACTCCTCTCTGAGACACTTATTACCACTTCTGCTCCTCTCCTCTGTGTTTGGACATGCCCCTTCTTCAGCTGCTGTGTCTCAAAGGCAAGATTATGACTCTTGTGAATGGAGTGTGACACTGATACCCTTGAGCAGAGGCCAGCACAGAGTGTACAGCACTCAACTCAGGAGAGCTTGGATGTACCTGGCACTTGCTCTCTTGAGAGTGCAGACCAGCTTTATACAGGAAGTAAGGCCTAATATTAATATGGCAGGTATGGGAGTGTCTGTGCACCCAGTCCTTCAGCTCAGTAATTCAGCTTATCTTCCAGGGCTTTCTTGGCTTGTAATTGGATGTGAATCATATTCTACTGAAGCCCTGAGTCAGATCCAGTATTTGCAACACTGTGCAGTCCTTTTGGCACAGTTCCATCCAGTCTCAGTCCTTTTAGACATTCATTTAAAATTAATTGTCCAGGAATGGCTTTTCTTTAAGCAAGCTCTGCTTGGTCTGCAGAGCTCCTCAGGAATGCCCCTGCTCTGTCTAGGCTTGGAGCTGGCTGAGGCTTGCTATTAATCAGCTTTCTCCCAGCTTTTCTGCAGATCTCCAAACTCTTCCAAATCCTGCCCCTTCCCACATGGTTCCCACTAACATGGGTCAGCTAGAGCAAGCCACTGGGTGTATTGTGACCCCATTTATCAGCAGAGTCTGCTTTCCAGATGGTTTGTACATACGGACTGGCTGCTTCAGTTGTCAGTACCAGCCCTCAGTTTTGCAGGGTGTGATTTGATGCCAGGAGCAGGGGGAACTAGGGTTGTGCAGAACAGCAGGAGCTGGACCAGCCTCGGGCTAGTGCCAGCCCTCCTGTTCAAGGCCTGCTCCTCATTGCTCTTTGACTCACGTCCTCAACCCAGAGCAGCTACAGATATCTCTCAGTTGTTCTTCTTCCCAATATGTACAGAGTATCTAGAGTAGAGGGGGAGCTTCCTGGCATGCCTCATCCATCAGCATATAGTGAAATCTGCAGTGGTTACAGACTGGCCAGACCTTTGAAACATCCCCTCAGGCAGCAGAACACAGATGTATTCACACAAGAATGCCTCCTCCTCAGTCCCTTATTGACCCTCTAATGGCCTATGTGTTTCTGATTCTGTAACCCAATCACTCCCTAGATAAATCTTGGAGGGTGGGAAAGAGAGCAGGGTCAGAATGTAGACAGGAAATGGGAGGACAGTGCGTACTTATTTGGGTGTCTGTTCTTTGGCCTGTCTGGACTGACAGCACTGGGGGATGCTCTCTCACTGAGTCAGTCTTATCAGGGAGAGCTCTTGGTGGTCTGCTCTCCCTTGCTTCAGCAGCAGCTCTCACAGAAGATGCCCCACACCTCTGAGAAAAAGAGAAATGCAGAGCTTTGCAACAGAAAGGGAGGATGAGGAAGACAAGGCTTCAAATCATAGTAAGGCAAAATGTTCCCATACCGGGCATAGTGAAACCATAGAAAAGTTTAAATGGGGGAAACTGTGGGTGCTTCATTGCCTTTCAGAGCAGTAAGATCAAGTCAGACAACCATCTGTCAGGACTGACACAGGTGTAGTTGAACTTGCCTAGACCAGTGGGATAGACTGGAAGATCTCTCAAGGTCCCTTATCTCTGTGACAGGCACAAGTCTGTCCCCGTTTTCTGGATGCAAACACTTGTGGCTGTGTACCACCTTGCCTCCTTCCATCAGAAAGGGCTTGTCTGCATACTAGGGGTATGCAGGGGGGTTTGTCTGCATACCAGGGGACTTCACTACCAGCTGCAGGTTTGGTGTCCTTTGCGGGACAGAGAAAACTCAATCCACTCTGTGTCTGCTCAGAAGCCTCTCCATTGTTCTGCCTGTGCAGTGCAGCCCTGCCTGAGACGCTGCGTGATGACATTGGCCCTGCTGCATTGTGGGAAGCTCTAGGAAGTGATCCAGCAGCACTGAAAGCAGCACTTACAGCTGATACACACACAGAGCAGCCACAGGAGCTGTGTCTGTGCTTGAAGATGTCCAGTCACAGAGGCAGCGGGAAGGAATGAGCATATGCTAGAGATACTTGTCCAGGCAGAAAATAAGAGGTGCTAAACCAAAGACAGGAAGATAACATATTCCATTGGCAAGGGCAGCACTGTGTTAACTGATATAATTCTTACCCAGGCTTTGACACCACTCTGTCCAAGCAAAACTCAGAGGCAGGATTCTGCCCTGACCTCTCCAAAAGGCAACAGAGGCTGAGTTGTTAAGGTACCTGTAAGTTTAGATCACATGGCAGCTCCATATGAACAGCTGTTTGCTTGTACTCTTATTTGTGCAGGCTTTTCTGGACCTAAGAAGGACCTTTCTCCCCCTCTCCTCTTGCCAGGACATCTTTTGCACTGTGGCCTGCACTGCAGAGCTGCTCTGGGCAGCAGATAGCTAGGCAACATCCCTGGGTCTGACTGAGAGTGCTGCATGCAGAGAGCAGTGCAGAGGGGTCAGAGAGTGAGTTGGACTATGGCCTCACATGGAGGCAACTGAGGCATTATCTAATGACACGCTTAGCAATAGTCTGTCCTGTGTCAAGCCAAATGTGTTTCTGGTTGTCAGATAAAAAGGGAAAGGGAAGGGATGGAGATGAGGAAGGAGGGTGCAGGCTGTAGGACTGCCAGGAGTAGCTTTTTGGCAGGATAAAGTGTTTGAAGAGCAAAGACCAAAACTTCAGAGCAGAGTCCAGGTAGCTTTCCTGCCTAGCCGTCTTTTTTCTCATCTGAGCTGCAGTTTATCCAATGCTGCCTGAATCCCTGTTCCTGTGATCTCTACTTCCAGTGACAAGCCAGGCTCATGTCCCAGATGTGCACAGGACAGAGCAGGCAGGGGGCAAGTTCTCTTCAGACACTCCATTTCCCTCACTGCTGCTTCTTGTCCCTGCCAGCAATGGCAGCAGGGCACGGCTGCAGGCAGCAGTTCCGCTGAGCAGCAGAGGGTGAAGGAAGGAGTCTCAGAGGTGAGACTGAGGGGAGCAGCTGTGGAAGCAGCCTCAAAAGCAGGTGCCACATTGGGCTTCCTTCCACAGAGATGGGCCTTCCTCCCTTCTGTCAGGCAACAAAGCCCTTGTACTTGGCACAACATCATCTGGAGGCCAAAGCAGCACTGTCAGCCTTTTACTGTCATCATGCTTGCCCTCTCACCAGCTTTCTAGCACAGAGATGGTGCTACTCTTGGTAACACACCTGGCAGCTCTGTGATGCTGCCCGTGCTGCCTCAGGAGCAACAGCCCAGCATCATCCTCTCACTGAGCCCTAAATATAAATAAGCTCCAAAAGGATGAGACATAGACATTATTGGGGGAAGAAACCTTGCAGCTGTCCTCCAGAGCTCGGGAAGCACAATCAGAGCACAGCAGAGTTACAGTTCCTCTAGCTCTGTCCTATCTGCTCCCTACATGCTGGATGTTCACTCCCTTTTGTACTCTGTGTTGTGGGCCTGCATATGCTTCTGTTCTGACAGTGCTAAAATTGGAAAGACAGCCTCCTCAGTCAGGGGGAAGCTGTCTGCATGGCTTTTCTTTTTTCCTTGGCCTATTCTTGCTAGAATTTGACTCTCACGTTGTGCATGTTTCAGAGCTGGAGAATGGAGTGTGGTCGCTGGGGCCCAAGCTCTGCTCCATCATGGTGAAACAGGAACAGAACCTGGCTCTAGACCTGCCTGAGTCCCAGCTAGCTGCCAGCTCCATACCAGTGCTGAACCTCAACCCTCTGCAGAGACTGCCAGTCCCCGAGGAGGTGAGCCCATCTAAGATCCATCGGGAAACTGGGCTCTCACGCAGTGGCAACCTTGGTGATACAGACCCAGCCATGTGACTGCAGGGTCCTGCAAGGTGATTTAGCTGCTGGACAAAGAGGAGAAGGTGATACAAAGCCCAGATACTGCATAATTTGTCATTCTCCTCTTGATATGGCAGTCAGAGGAGCAGCATTCCTGATGTTGGCTAGAACTGTGTTCTTGGTTTCTGCAGTGAAGCTTCAAGACAGCTTATCCTTCCAGAGAAAATGGTGAAATGAGGATTTTCTCCAGCACAGGAGGCTTTGCAATCTTGGATAAATATAAGCCTGGGTCTTTGGCAAAAAAGCCGAAGGCTTTAAGCTTGCACCTGATGGAGATCTGTCCCCTCCAATCTCCCAGTATTTCTATAACCACTCTTGGCTTATTTTCATTTTCCAGAAAACAGTGTAATTTAATGTGGTGCCAGTGACCCCACTATTCCTGAGTATAGACCCCTCCTCCACTACTGTCTTTTTCATGGCTTTGGACTTGTCACTTGGCCTCTCGCTTTTTGTAACTGCTAACTGGAAATGGAGGTCCCATCCAGGTCCTGCTTGCTTTTTCCTATGAAGCAGCAGGAGTTATTATTTCTTTGAAACAAGGGGTCAACTCTTCTTGGCATATCTAGGTTCTAAAGAAGTCTGTTTGTCTGAAGGAGGTACAGTTATGCCACTGGCATCTGGGTGTAAGTCAAGGGCTCGGTTCAGCTGGCCTTGAGTCCAGCCGTGTTGGATGAGAAGGTCTGACTAGTCTCACACAGACCTTGCCTATCTTGTAGCAGCTCAGTAGATAACAGTAGAGCATCTCTGGGGTTCACTTCCTTTTTTCACTCATACTGATCATCTTCCCATTAAACAGCCATCCAAAACAAATGGGTTCTTCCAGCCAAAACTGTGCACAAACTTCCTCTATTATTTACACAGCTTGAACTTGCTGTGCCCTCAAAGCTCTGCTGTGTGCTTAGCAGCCATTCCATGGTGCTCTCTCAGCTGTGTTTACAGTCTGAAGGAGTTTGAAATGTGCCTGTTTAGTGTAAAAACTCCAGCCTATGGTGGGCAGGGGGCTGGCAAGCCAGGGAGCTGAGGGGCAGCATAACCCAGATGGAAATAAATGTATTCTTTATTCAACTCTCAGTCCCCTCCAATTGGAAACAGTTGACCAGTGGCCCCTGGGGAAAATCATGTGAGCAAGACAGGGTGATTGTTCTGTTTCTGTTCTGTATAACCTCTATACTCCCATTTATAATGAAGGCAGATCAAAGAGGGACTTTGCATGGTAACGCATGGGTTGGTTTAAATTACGCTGTCTGAGTCTATCAAAATAATTGCCAAGGATAAAAGTCATCTCCCTTTTGGAGGTACTCAGCTCAGTGCATTGCTTGGCAGCAAATCCATCTGCCCCTGCCTCTTCCTCTGCAAAACGTATTTGCACTCTGTGTGCCCAGCAACTGAGACTTCAGGGGCTTACGTTTGAACTCTTGGTTTCCTTTATGTGTGGTGAGAGGCTGCTTTGGAGCAGAGCTGTGAGGTGGGGCAGGACAGGCAGCAGGGGAGCAGTGACTGTGAACAGAACTGGTGGGAGCCTTTTGGGCAGGGGAGGTGGCAGTGCCCAAAAGTTCCTTCTTCTTCTTTTCCACAGATTCCCATAGAAATGACTCCAGCACCTGTGATCAAAGCTGAACCCAAAGAGGTGAACCAGTTTCTAAATGTACCTACAGGTAAGAAGATAGAATTTCCTGGTCAACTATATTACTCAGATATAGGTGGTTATTATACAGGGAGAAAAGACAACACCTGAGGTCAGAGCCATGCATACAAGGTAGCATTGGGGCACAGAATAACAGTTCCAACACAGATCAGTGTCTGGACCAGCAGCCACACACAGAATTGTTCAGACAGGGACTCCCAGGCAAAACAGGCTACTTCAGAGTTGGAAATATGCAAGAGTGCCTTTAAAATCCTCAGAGAGACTGTAGAGTTATCCAAAAATAACCATCTGAAAGTCAGGAAATTCAGGATCCAGTTTAATTTGAAAGAAACCCAAGCATCTGAAAATCTGCCGATGCACAAATGAAAGCACTATAGGAACTCCCACTACCGCAGAGAGACATTCCTTAGGCATATTCCCACTTCCATTAAGGCCCCCAGGGCTCTCCAGTACAAAGTGGGGACAGTTTTCAAGTGCTTGGAAATGAACTGAGTGACCGGAGGCCCTTTGAATCAAGTGTGCTGGCAAGTGTGTGAGCCCAGCAGTGCTTTTGGAAGAGCTTTTCTCTCACAGAGCTTCCTGTACTTGTGAACATCATGGGCTTTGTACTTAATTTTGGTTGAACTGTAGTACCTTATTGTTTGGTAAATACCTTCAGTGTCTTGGCAAAGCCCCTGACAGCTCTCCTGCAGTTCCTAGTTTAGCACATTTGAGGTCAGTCTCACTTCTGTCTTGGGCAGTGCTCAGTCCAGCCTGGTTCTCTGACCCACCCCATCTCGTGAAACTCATCACCCTCTCCTTTCAGTCCTCTGTTACAGCAGGGCCCTATGCCTCTATCAACAGGCTGATGTGAGAGCCATTGACTTGATCTCCTTATTTCTCAGTAGATGACCTGGTGCAGATGCCTCCAACTCCACCCAGCAGCCATGGCAGTGACAGCGATGGATCTCAGAGCCCTCGGTCCCTGCCTCCCTCCAGCCCAGCCCGGCCTGCTGCTCGCTCTTCTACTGCCATCTCCTCCTCACCTCTCCTCACAGCACCACATGTAAGGAGGTAGCAGGACATCACTGGGACACGGGGCTCCTTGGTGCTCACAGGGGTTTGGAGGCTTTCCAAGGCTCACGTAGGGGATCCTGCCCTTGTTATGGTCTCCAAGCTGCAATGCTCTGGCAAAGCAATGTGATGTCTTAGCACAGGGATGTGGGGACAGGACGGTGAGGAGTGAAGAGAGGCACAATGAGTCTTGCATAATACCTCCCATCAGCTACCTTGTTTTAGCAGTTACTGTCTTTCACCCCAGACTTTGGGAAGTGGCCTACACACTAGAGGACTTTCTGAGGAAGTTAATCTGAGAGAAAGGAATTATTGAGAATTCCCATAACCAGACCATTTTAATCATTGTCCAAAAGTTCTTTTGAAGAGTCCTGTAATAGAATTGTGTAGCCAGCCTCACCACAAAAGAACAGATGCCCTCCCAAGTAAAAGAGGAAAGGAGCTGCTGAGCTTTGCCGCCACGATCAGGTGGAGAGCAGAAAAAAAGAATTGCCCTGCACCTATTTGGTATCAGTGGGAAGCAATGTATTCTATTCTGATGTATACAGCCTCTGGATGCTCTGCAAGGCTTTAAGGAGGATCACTTAAGGGATAGAACTCCTTTCTGGCACTGATAGATGCTCTGTGTGTGTTTCAGAAATTGCAAGGAACCTCTGGCCCGCTGCTCTTGACTGAAGAGGAGAAGCGCACCTTGATTGCCGAGGGTTACCCCATTCCTACCAAGCTGCCCCTCACCAAAGCAGAGGAGAAAGCACTGAAGAGAGTCAGGAGGAAAATCAAGAACAAGGTGACTGCAAAAAATGTTATCATCCAGTCCCCATGATTCCAGAGCACCTTCAGCTGACCAGTGCTATAGTTACCCTCACCTCCTCAGCTGCAGTGCAGCTCAGAAAAGGTGGGATCCTGCCTTGGTACACTAGCATGAGCCTCCCAACCCATAAAAATGGTGCCATGCTTGCTCTGCATAGAGTTGTATCTGGGAAGTATGGCTTCCAGCCCAGGTCCTGTGAGTGTGTGGCCTTGATAGGGCCCAGAAGCCAAGGTATCACAGATCAGACAAACTGGCCTGGTCTGGCCTTACTTCTGGGGCAGGGAAACCAGAGCCCTTGCGTGATGCAGAACGGGTGATTAGCCAGGCAGAGGCTGTGAGACTTTATACTGGTATAGGAAAGCATCCTATGGGAGAAATGGTGAGAACCTGAATTAATCACCAGGTGACTCATAAGGGATCTGGGGCAGAATCAGCCCAGATGGCCACAGCACATACCCATGTGAGTCAGAGGAGTTCAAAGAAACCCTACAGATGCTCTCAGCAGTGAGGGACATACTGCAACATATGGTTGCGGCCTACAGGCCAAGGAAGGCTGCATACCTACAGTATCCATCCCTCTCAGTTTTGGCCTGGAGACCAGCAGGAATGACAGACTGGAAGGCAACTTCCCCATTTAGAGTGCTGTGTGCGCAGGGAGCAGACAAGATGCGTAAGCCACAAAATGTCCAGACGTTTAGGATGCTGACTCCTCTCTGACGGCTTGCCTCCCTCCCAGATCTCTGCTCAGGAGAGTCGCAGGAAGAAGAAAGAGTATGTGGAATGTCTAGAGAAAAAGTAAGTTTCTTCTCAGTCTTATCTTTAAAAAAGGAATTCTGTTCATGCGCAGCCTTTCTTTCTAGTGTTCTGTGAATTGCTAAAAAAGTATGATTCCTTGCAAGGCTGGCTGCACAGGAGTTTGGGTTGGGATCCTGCACCTGCTCCCCTCCTTCCTAAAAATCCTCTTGTGGGATAAAGATTGCTCGAGAGATTTTGTGTTTTAAACTGCTTAGTTTGGCTGGCCCCTGCAAAACACAGGGCTTTTTGGCTGCCAATAAGGTGGGATTGTGGGGAAGAGTCCTGTTTCCCCACTAGAAATTGCTTCTATTTTGTTTGTCCCACAAGCAGTGGGCTCTCTGAGGGTGCTGCCCATGGCTTTTCCCCCTCTCTTCCCATGAAGGTGGACACACAAGCACTTGACAGCAAGAAAAACCTTGCACTACAGTTGTTCCCCACACTTCCTTCCCTTTCACTCTCTGCATTAGCTTAGTTTTCCTCCTCACAACCCTGACGTCCTGCATGTATAGCAGGCATAAGCCTATGGTGACATCACATAACACGGACAGAGTAGAAAGTAACTTCTGTAATAGCAGCCCCTAATGGGCATTCCCATAATGGGCAAAGAAGAATGCTGGATCCAGAAGCAAATTCATGTTTCTGTATAAATACCATCTTCTTCTCAGTTCCTAACACTATCTGAGATCAGCAAATGGAAAAAACAACTCCCAAACCCAACCTTAATTAACTCTTCTTCCTGATGCTGTTTGTTTATCTTCTCTAGTTGCACAGAAATGCTGAATTAAAACACATGACTTGAGGCAGCTTCAGGTTCTCACAGAGCACCTCAGTGTGCTTGTGTGTGTCCAGGCATCAGAGCACATAATCTCCAGCTAGTGTCCCACATTGACACTCAGATCCTTCAAGCTGGGGATGGGGATTTGGCTGGCCTTGCTCAAGGAGCAGGTCCAGGGTGCTTGGTGCTGGGGCCTCTTTCCCAGCTGTGGCTATGCGTGGTGCCTGTATGTACTCAGCAGTTTGTTACGCTGGAGCATTGCTATGACAGATGGCTTTCAAACAATGCCAGGTTTAAATGTGAACCACAAGAGGCATTCAGTGATTTTTTTTTTTTAATGGAACATGTCTTTGGTCAGCTTGGCTTTCTGTAAAAGCTGGTTAGTCAAAACCTGTAATTGGGCTCTTCACCATTCAGTCTGACACTTGTGCTGCAAGCCCAGTTTTTGCACGGAACGCCTAGTTCAGAGGCTGTCCTGGAAGCCTCCATCAGAATCAGGCTGTGTCCCTGGCCTGCCTTCCGCCGGGGGTGGAGGCATTCCCCTTCCCTTGTCCCATCTGCAGCCTAACCACTGCTGCTGAGAAGCCGTAGGAGGGAGCCTGCAGGTTCTCTGCTGCCCTCAAGTGCCTGCAGTCGGAACTGGCTCAGCGTTTGAACGGAGCGGCCTGGATTTCAGAGCCAGGGCGCACAGCCAGGGCAGGTTGTCAGTCTGAGTGGGAGAGGTTTTATTTTGTCCCCCTCTTCCTTTTTCATGCTCCTTAGGGGGAGTTTGGAAGCGATGGAAATGTCTGCGTAACTTTGGGTCTATCCTGACTTGACCTGTCTGTAACCAAGTGTTACTGTCTCTCCCAAACCTCAGGAAACCCTGAACTGTCACATTTAACTGTTCACCTGCAGTCTCATCCCTGCTCTATTGGGGCTAGCAGTAACCAGGTGGGCCAGTAACATTTGACTCCAGGACCCTACCTGCAGGTGATGGATGAGGCTACTGAGCCTCCACACCCCAACAGAGGCAAGCACTACATTCTTTATGTTTCTGACCTTTGTAACTAACTGGGTTATGGGGTTTATTCCCATAGGGTTGAGACATACACAGCAGAAAACAATGAACTCTGGAAAAAAGTGGAGACCTTAGAAAATGCAAACAGGTAAGATGGGCTAGACCTGACCCTCTGTGGGTAGGGCAGGGTGAGCAGGAAGTCAGGGAGTGCTGGGACAGGAGGGTGAGAAGAGAAAGGCAGGCTTCCCCAGCTCCTAGTGGATAGATGCTGCTTGGCAAGGCACTGCTTTTCAGCCTGTGACATTAACGAGGCAGCTGGGTTGGGTTAGCAAGCCTGGAATGTTTGTATTGGGATGACCAGGCAACTCCGAAGTGAGGGGAGGGAAGGAAGGCATTTCCCATATCCCTTATATTTTCCTCCTTCTCCCTGCAGCCCTTTGGGCTCATGCTGTCTTCCCCATTGCCCTCCAGGTCTCTGGCTGTCTCCAGGACAAATGTATCAAGGGAGGCCTCTCGCACCAGCCTCTCAGACCCATTGTTTCTGCTTTTGAGCTCTTTGGAGGAATACAAGGCCCCTGGGCATATTGTGGCTGTTTCAGGTTTCTCTTCCGAAAGCTGAACAGACTTGGTGAACACAGGGAAAGCCCCTTCCTCTAATACAGATAGTTCCCACCAAATCTAGGGTAAATCCTTGTGCATGTGGTGTTCCAGCCCTTTCTCAGCCTCTTCTGGGCAAAACAAGCCCAGAGAATCTCCATTGCTGCTGCTGCTGCTCACCTGAAAGGAGAAAGCTGCTCCCACAGCCCCAAAGGTCCCTCACCTAAGGCTCTGATGAGCACCTGCGCTTCTAATATGCAGAGCTGGCCAACTGATCACCAGGGGAATTTGCTTCCTTGGAAGCAAATGTGAAGACTCCCACCCCTGCAGTGGGGATGGGCAGCAGGAGCTGGAGAAGGGCCCAAATCTGCTCCCCCTTATTGGGAGCAGCAGGTGTGAGCAAGGGCAGGGTCAACTGCAGGGCTGGTGAAGGGGATGCTCGTTTTTGTAGCCCCATTTATATCAGCTCGAATTGAAGGGGAGAACCACAGCCAGAGAGCAAGTTCCTCACTGACTCCTCTGCTGCCACTACAGCTCATGGAGAACTCCTAGAGGCTCTACTGCATTCCTTCCTCCCATCCATGACATGAGTGCTGTGGCATTGGCTTCCAGGCCAGCCACTGGTGCCAGGACTGGGGGCTGTCAGGTGTGGTCCGGCAGAGGTGTGCGAGAGCCAGAGGTCTCCCATCTGCCAGAGATACAGCTGCCCAGCTGTTCTCATGCATGAGGCACAGCTTGCCCCAGGCCTCTCTGGGAGTGTGGGCAGTCCTGCTGCTGAAAAAGCATTAGCCCACCCTGAAAAATCAAGAAATTGGCTGAAAAAACAGAAGATTTTTTTTTTCCCAAAATACACATTGTGTTCTTTCTAATTGGATTTGGTTTTTGAGCACTGCCAGTGGGACACTGTGTGCTTCTCTCCACGTGTACAAGGAGCAGAAGAGGATTTGGAAAGAGATAAAGTCGTGATTCTCCTGCAATCACCTGGCCTTAGGACCTGGCATTTCATAAAAAATCAAACACACTTGTATAAAACAATCAGCGCTCCCCCGGGCAAACTCAGCAGTAGTTGAATTTCAGTAATTTGCAGCCATTGGGAACTATGTGCTCTGTAGTCTCCCTTATTCCAGATTCCTTCACCAGCTCAGTGAAGGGTTCAGTAGCTCTTGGTAACGCTTACCACTGTTTTGTGTTTATGTGTGTGGATACCCATGAACAGTTAAATGGGGCAGAGAGACCTTAGCACATGTTCCAATCAGGGCAGCCAGAGAATGATTAATTGCTGAACTCAAGATTTGGCTTTGCCGTATTCCTCTGCAGAGTTTTCCAAGACTGAATAAATTGGAGAGGATCACAACTGTTTCTTATTTCTCTCTCCACCTCATGGTTTGGAGCTTCAGAGTGTGTCAGTGAGTGAAGTGGGAGCAGGCAAGTCTGTGCTGAAGGTCTGACCAGTCTACAAAATTCAACTACCATCACAGAGCTTGGTTTTCATGGTACCCTGGCTCTCCACTGCTCTGGAAGTTCACAGGCTGGGCTTTGAGGCACCCAGGAGTCCTAAATGAATGAGACATTCATAACAGTGGGTAGGTGCAGTGAAGGTGGTAGGGGATCTGCTGGTGAGATCTTTTTCTGTCTCTCACTTCCCAAGTCTGTGCGGTCAGAGAACTTGGGCAAGATACAGCAAAAGGGAGATACTTGTTTTCAGAAGGAGGAAAAATCAAGATAAAATATGAAGAGAGCAGTGATATTCTTTCCTCGCTTACTGGCTGCTACCTCCTTATCAAGTTTTGATATGTGTTGTTTCCTATCACAGGACTCTGCTCCAACAGTTACAGAAGCTGCAGGCTCTGGTAGCTGGGAAAGTCTCCAGACCTTATAAAATGGCTTCCACGCAGACTGGGACCTGTCTAATGGTATAAGCTTCATTTCCATATTCCTTATTGGCCATGCTTCTCCAGACAGCTTTGTAGATTGCCTGTCTCTGCCCTCTTCCCTGCTGCCCTCCTGTGTTGCCAGTTACATCTGCTCTCTCCTTTTGTGTTATAGTCACCAGAGCTGGGTCCTGGCTCATACATACATTGGTATTGTCAGTTGTTTATGCAGCAACATTAGAATAATTCCTGCATTTTCACTATCTTGTTCTTTGGGCAAAATGGCACTTTGTTTGCCTTTCATTAGCTATTAGCCATTCAGAAAAAATCTTCAATGAGCTTCCATAGTAATGGGTAGAGTCTTCTTTTGCTGAGTTGGTAATGCTTAATGTTTAACTCAGCAGGGCGGACAAACAGTTCAAGTATTCCTCCCACTGGGCATTACCTTGTGTTTATTATCAAGAAATGGCATCTGTTCTTGCTATGCCTGCACATCAGGCTTTGTTAAATCCAGCTGGAATTCTCTTTTTTTGCCCTTTTGACTAACCAAAATTAATCAGGGTTGTCTGTTATTTTGGTAATCCCTGTTTACCTCTCATTTCTCCTAGAGGAGGATCATGGTTAAGTAATATTGGCTTCACTGAAGAGTTTTAGGACGTGCCAGTGTGTAGCCATAAATAGTCAATTGCTTATTCTTCATCTAATTTTTAGCTGGGGGAAAGTTTCTGATCCATGATAAAAATATAACCTTCACCCCTGTGATATCTTTGCAGGATGATGTGATGTTGTAGTAGCTGGTCATGACAAATTTGTCAGTTAGTTATCTATATCTGGTTATTGCTCCTGTACTGTTAACAGTCACGAAATGCAGACAGATGGTGAGAAGCTTGCCCCATTTTCTCAGCATCCCCAGTGTCCTGAGGGATTGTTTTTTTGCTCGTGGTTCAGTTTCCATAGTTCCAGAGCCCCTGCTCTATAATTTCCAGCACTTTCAAAATCTGCTCAGGCTTTTCGTACTCTTTGCTGCCCCCATGTCAGACCAGATTTTAATGACTGTCTTTTCTTTTCTCTTCTCTGCTCTATGTCTTCATTCTCGAGTTCTTTCCACATTTTCAGGTGTGACTTACCTGAGCCCAGTGGCTTATTGCTCCTTAATGCAGCGTCTCATCAGAATACCCCTGGCTCCAGCAAATTTCAAGGCTACTACCTGGAATAAGCAAGTCCAGAAAAGGTGCCAGATATCCCCCGCGCTACAGACTGATAAAATACCTAATTTAGCATCCCAACAATGTCTTATCTCTCCTTGCTGCTCCCTTCATTCCAGGCATCCCAGCCCACACACCAACTCTCTCAGGCTTCCTAGCTTCCAAGCATTTCAAGAATTTGTAATTTGCTTTTCTATCTTTTGCCAGTTCCTCTCTTAAGCCTCCTAGTTCCCATTTTCCATTTTCAAATACAGCACTTCTTATCACAAAAGATATGTAGAATCATCATGCCTTGCAGCATGGGAGTGGAGCAGACTACCCTTCTTCTTTAGCTCTGTGTCATTCCTGCTGGATATTTGTACAGCCAGTTCTTGAAGGCCTCCAGTGTTGAGCAGTGCTCAGCCTCCTAAGGCAAACCATTTCAGTACTATGTTATCTTTCCCAGATAAAGCTTTCTTGCTATCTCATCTCAGTCTCCCTTGCAACAGCTTAAGCCTATTAGAAGTTCTTCTACCTAAGCAAGATCTGTTTACTCCTCCTTTGTGCAGCTGCATTCTACATATTGGAAAACTCTTGTTTTCAAGCAACTCCCTTCAGTCTGCTCTGCTAAATCACCATGATTTCTTCAATCTTCCCTTGTAGGCTGAATTACTGAATCACTGCTTGTTCCCAGAGCTCTTTTCCAGACTTTCTCCAAAGGCCCTAAATCTTTCTGGAAGTATGGGGCCCAAAGCTGGACAAAAGTGTTCCACCTGAAGGCCACTACAGATCCAGCCAGAAAGCCTGTTCATTCTGCTTGGGCTGAGATTTGCCTTTTGCAAAGTGACACTGATTTGGGCCTGTCTTGTGCTCCATTTTAACTCCCAGATCCTCTTCTGTAGAACAGCTGAAACACGTAGTTACTGATGTGTTTCCTCTGTTAATCAGTCCTGCCACCTTGGAGGTCTCAGCAGATCTCCACATTTTTCTGTATAGATCTTCCCACCGTTCTCTTGGACCACTTCTTCTCATGATCAAGATCGTTCTGAATTTGAATATTGACCAAAAGCCAGTCTGCTTGTGGTCTCCCCCATCTGCAGATTTCATTCAGTCCATCATTCAAGTCAAGCTTAAAAATGCTGAATCTTGCCAGATCCATAACAGATCTCTCTGCTACTCCATCTGCTACTTCCTCACAGTTTGACAGTGAACCATTTGATAAATACACTCAGTATGTCTTTTTTTGATGAATTTTTCCTCCACCTTTCCAACTGGTTTTGAAGCAGTTTCCTCTAGCTTAATTTCCCTCACTTTTAAGAGGTCAAATAATGAGATGGTCAAAAGCTGTAAGATGAATTGTACTCAGAGTCAAAACACGAGTTATTGTTATGAAGTGTTGTAAAGTTTGAACCAGAACTGAATCAGAGCATCAGAGTTAACCTGAAACAAAACAGAGCAAAAACAATCCTGTTTTGCAAATCCCCGGTTGAAAGCCATGTTAAAGCAAGATGTTAAATATACTGCTCTTTCCCAGCCCCAAAACCTGTTTTATTTTAGAAGGGAAGAACAGACTTCACAGGGCTGGCTCCCTTTTCTGCAAGTTGTGTGTTTGGCTGTGATAATTCCAAGCAACATTTATTCATAATTTATTTTTTCATCTGTTTTTGTGGAATAAGGATTCTAAATACCTTGTGTGCCTTATAATGACGTACTTAGACAGCATCTGTGCTGTCCATGTTTAATGTCCTTACTTTAAAACCAACCATGAAGAGTCTGGATAATTAAAATCCCTCTTTATATAGCATAGTATCCCCATGTTATTATTCTATCTTCCACATCTCCTGGAATCCACTGATGGTCAAAATTACCTTGATGTACCAGCTTCAATGCATTACTTAGGCACAGCTATTCTGAAATAGGTGAACTTCTGAAAAGCAGTCAAGCAATTGCTGGCTGTGCCCTCAGGTGTCCCGCCAGGTCAAACTTAGCTAGTTTATACACAGGTAGCAGAAATCACCAACAGCCTCTTTGGCTGCTAAGTCTGAGCACTGAGCTGGTGGCATGGCTGTTCAGGTAATAAGCATTTGGCTCTGTGCCATTTCCCATGTGTCCCTTCTTGCTCTCTACCGACAGTTCCCTAAGCTCTATAGAGTCTCTTAAAATCAGCACTGGCATCTCACTCTGAAGCCTTATAGTTACAACAGAATTTCCAGACAGGTCCAGACCTACCTGAGGGGTATTTCCAGGGAGATTTCATGTGCCTTTCTCCTGTTATCACTGCTGGTAGCTCTGACTGATCCCCTGACACCAGAAGGTCTGCACACATGGTCCTGCATACCTACATGTCAAGCATAAATTTAACCCTTTCATTGGACTCTGCACCTTTACTGTCAAGTATTAGGCAACTGTAATTCTGCTGTCATTTCTGTCCTTGTGTGGATAGTAGCTTCACCTTGCTATGTCCTGTGGTACCTCACAGATTTCTCCCAGTGAGCTTGTTTTATTTACAGCCCACAATAGCTCCTGCTGAGCCAATGGTCAGGTTCCCTTTGGTCAAGACAGAGTTCATCCCTTCTGTTGAGTCTCCTTCTTTCTCAGCTTGTTTCTCAGCTACGCTTTCCACTGTTTCTTCTCAACTGGATGGACAAGTTCTCACTATTGAACAAGAAATACTCCAAATAAAGCAACAAGAGGAAGTTTCTGACTTCCCTTCTTAGATTTGCAGCAGAGATTAGAACAGCAAGTCCCTTCCCATCCTGGGGGACCATAGGTACCCAGTTGTCAGCCTGACGTGATCTTCTTACACAGCCTTATGTTTGTGTGCTGTGAGGGGGAATGGTTCTTCATAGCAGTTCTTCAGTGGCGCTGACTCTGTGCTGATCTTCTCTCTAGGTGCTGGCACTCTGCTTCGTTCTGATCCTGGGATCCCTGATGCCCTGTCTCCCTGAGTTCTCCTCAGCGTCACAGACAGTGAAAGCAACACCAGCACCAGACATTTACACAACTAGTAAGAGTGAGTCTAATGTGGTTCCTCCATTTCAACTTGCCAAACTTGTGGCTCTTCCCCTGACAGTCCCTGCTCAGGCGTAGCATCCTCCCCTCTGTGCCTATCCCATATGCTGAGGCTGTGGTGAGGGAATATTCCTAATCTGTCAGTGGTAAAAACTCTGGTAACAGCTCCTTGTTGGGGCCTGTTGTCATTTCATGCTAACTGCTGTCCTAAAACATGGCAAGTGTCAAAGGAAGGAACATGAAAGAAGAGTCCCAGGGCAGACTGGTTGTCTTCTGAAGACACAATGTGTCCAGGGAGGCATTTGCCTCCTGAAGCTGGGGGGAGGAGGGTATCCTGCACAGTTACACATGGACAAAGCTGGGTGAGCATGTGCTGAAACCACTGTCATGACCCATACCCATTGCAGGAGACCTTATCTTCATTGTTAACCAATGCTCTCCTTTTTTCCAGTTCAGTCACGGAGCCTTCTTTTCTATGATGAGGGTGCTGGCTCCTTAGAAGAGAGCTATAGCTCCTTCCTAACCCTGGACCATCCTGAGGGGTGGGAGGCTGAAAAAAGGCAGTCTGAGGAGGGAAGGCCTCATCTGGCCAGGACACATGAGACAGCCAAATATCTGAGCAAAACACAGCTGGAGGGTCCTGACCAGAACCAAACTGACACAACTCTCACCCACCTCAAAGAGCAATTCCATAAGAGGTAAGCAGGTGGGGCCACCTTCTGAGCCCAAAATACAGTATGGTGTCTGGGAGTAAGTCTATCCCCTCTGCTGCAAGCTAAGGACAGCTGAGCCACCTGGGGCAGGCAATCAGCTAAATCAGTGGCTGGAGGAGGCCAGTGCTGGTAGGGAGCATAAGAACAAGTTTATTTTCTAGAGCAAAAGTTTGAGACTCTATAAAGCAGTGTCCCACTGGCATAGAGCTGCAGAGGGCTGGATGACTCAGGTGGTCCCAGGTTTGCATTCCATTCAGTGCCCTGGGGAGGGAGCTCATCCTGGTCAGAGCAAACTAGTTGGGCACACAGAGAGGTGAATTTGCGTAGGAGGCTGCAATGAACCTTGACTGATGCTTTGTCTTTTCTTTTCCTCAGGGAGACAAGCTCCAGTGAGACAACTGAATTCTTGTAGCAGCTGCTGGACCTCAAGGCCTCATTTGTCAGATTGCAGGATTCCCTCCTCACCAAGCAACTGAGGGGACTTGGCAGGAGAGGACACTTGCATTCAGACACTCATAAACTGGCCTTGGGTTCAGCTCCTCCCCTTCCCCATTCTCCCCATAAGTAATGATCTCCCTAAGGGGAGTCACAGGACTGCCAGAACCAGCAATAGATGTCTGGAGAAGCCCTGGACGCCCTCTTCTCCTGGCCTTACCTCCTGCTTAAGTGAGCACTATCCTATGGATGTGGGCTCACTTTGAAGTGGAGGGAGATCAGAGGAAGCACCCAAACTACTCAGCTCACTCCCCAAAGCCTCCAAACCAAGGGGGCTGTCCCCAGCTGTGTACCCCTTGGCTACATCAGATGCACCTGAAGGAGAGAGAGAGAGAGAGAGAGAGAGAGAGAGTGTGTGTTGGATTTACTGTCCTGCCTGGGGAACTAGGAGTGGGTGATACTGGTGCTAGAGAGATGGTTCTGGAGAGTTTGAGCTCATTCCTTGCCCTCATCAGTTAGTATATTTCTGCTTCCATTGAGAGAAAACCTAGTTCTTCCTTGCTCTAGTTTTCTTTTGATGGACATGCCTACATAACGCCAACTATCTGCAAAAATCTGCACACAAATGGAGTGGGGGAGACAGATCCCAGACCGATAAATCACCATAAAAATTAGCCAGCAGCTTCTAGATAACCAGAGCTCTGAAACAGAGAACAATTTTCCCCCACAACCCACTTCTCCCCACCCTCAGCACCCCTGCTTTGGCAGGAGTGGCATTTCTCCATCTGTTCCCAGCTTGGACCCTACAGTGCAGTGCTAACCAGGTCAGTGGTCTTCTCACTTTCCATTCTGCAGGCATTTCATTTGAGAGTGAGTGAAACACATTTTCATAACCTGACCCCCATCCCAGCTCTCCACCTCCAATTCAGTTTTATGCCAAATAGGGTCTTTCTAGGAACCAGCAAGGAAGGCTCTGCAACCCATTGGAGGTCTGTCAGATTAGCCATCGTTCCCCTCGCATCCTCTGTGTGCACAACACAAAGTGTTGTGAAAACCACTGAGGACATACTGGCATTTCTGGAGACAGATATATCTGTCAGGAAAGAGGTGGCATGTTGGAATTGGCCAGGGTAATGAAAGGCAGTTTTAGACCTTTTCCTTCTAAGTACTTTCACCAAAGGTAGCAAACTCTTGCCATACCATCCCTCAGGCCAGACTTGCCAATTTTGGTGTTGAAGTGACCTCATCTCAAGCCTATGCCATCCTTTTTAGCACCCAGACACCCATTTCTGATCCTTCTTCCTCCCCAGCAAAAGCCCTGTAGAAAGGCTCAAGTGTCTCCTTGCTCCATTCCCTCAGCTGCCATTTGATGGAAGGACAATGTGGGACATGAGTGTTGGAGATGTGGGATGTGGCAGATTGCCCCATGTTTTAACATGTGTCCTTCACTCTGCCAGGGCATTCTGCAGGCTCCTCTTCCACTTGTTTCTCATCAAGCACCCTGGACTCACTCTGCACTGCCCCAGCCTCTCCTCTTTCTCCAGTCTGGGAATGGAGAAGGCCCCCTGGAGAGGAAAGATGGGATGGCTCTTGCTCAGTGAATAGAAGTGAGGGAAGGGCCCTCATATCCTTCCTTTCTCCCTTTTGAAACTTGGTTTTATCTTCCAACACCATTTAGGAAAAATTTGGACACAGCTAGCTGCAGCCATACCTGCATGGCCAGTGGGGTGAGGAAGAGGAAGGCTTTCAGCATAGCTCTCCTCAAGGTCACCAGATACCACTGCATTTCCCATCCTCCACCTCCACCCCAGCACAAAGAACCACTGTTGGGTCCAAGCACACCCTCCTCCACCCCAGCACCTCCACTGAGCGTGTCCCCGTGCCTCTCACTCCCACTGTTGTACAGAGACCAAGAGCAGAACTCGTTTGTACATAATGAACCTTATTTTGTATTATTGCCGATCCCTTAAGATATTGTATTTTGGAGACTCTCAGATCCTATTTTCAGTATTGTATTTTATTAAGAATTAGTGCGGGCTTGGCATCTATGAACTTCTTTCTTGTAGCAGCTCACTTTCCACTTATACTCCAGCAGCTGCCTCTTCCCTCCTCTTTGGTTGGTTTTTTTTTTTTGGTTGGTTTTTTTTTGGTTGTTTGTTTTTTTCCAAGCCACCTTTTCTCCTCCTCCTAACACTTGCTCTGCATTTGCTTTGTGAAGCAAAATAAAAATAAAATAAAAAATTGCAGCATCAATCCTGGGTTCACAGGTCCTTTCATTGAGGCATGGTCACGCCAGCCCACATGCACAGCTCCTCACCTCCTGCTCCCTGTTCCATTCCCATGCCACATGCAGAATTGCTTCAGTACTAGGACCCCATGCTCAGTGTTGGGGGCTAGAAGCAAACTTGCATGTTTTATTTGCAGCAGCACTGTAATTTCTTCTGCAGTTCTGAACAAGTCAGAACTGTTCTGTCTCAGTTCCTTTTCCCCCTCCAAAATACCACTATCATCCTCTTGGAAGGCGAAGATCACGGAAGAAAGTCTGTGAGGTGCAGTGAGCTTGTCGGGTGCAGGACTGTGAAGGGGTCTGTACAACAAAGAGATAGCACTGTGGCTCTGGTCCCATCTTGTCTGAAGAAATACTTAAATCCTTCCATTAACTGTAAAAGCAGAGTAGCTGTGCTCAGATTGGCAATGACCTGGGTCCTGGCTGGCTGTACCTCTGACAGTCCATTGGCATCTGTGAAAACTGGTAGGTTTTGTCCTGATTTTGAGTGAAACACCAGGCAACGGGGTCTAGAAAACAAATCTTCCTTTTCTAGAAAGCTCCAAATGAGTACATCAGAATTTGGCTATTGAAACAACTTTCTCGCAGTCAGGGCCTCCATATCTGAAAGACAGCCCAAGCAGCAGCCCCTTTCAGGAATGCTACAAGGTGGCTCTGTCTCTCAGCTCTGGCTAGGGTGGTACCGCAGGACTCTCTTTGCCATAGCAAAAGAATGTGAAGCTCGGGGCTTGCAAAGGTCTCTTTCTGTGGATTATAATTTCTTTGTGGAGAAGAGTAAAGTTGATGTCATGCTGTTGTGACAGGGCTGGCCATTGAAGAGTGGCTGAGAGAGAGAGCAGCTCTCTTTCCTTGGCCGGGGTCTGTACTGCCGAGAGGGGCTTTGATGTGGGATCCATGGCAAGTTAGACTGATGTGGGGTTTGCAGACTCCTGCAGAACTCCCTTCCCCTGCACACCCACTAGGCAAGGAGATGCTCGGCCTTGCCCTGTAGTTTGTGTCCCAGGCCAGAAGTAGTTTTGATGTTTTTCCTGTGACACCTCGTCCAAAAGCAGTCTCCTATCCCTGCGTCAGTATGATGCACCTTCCCCCACTGTGGGGTGGGGCTGCTCTCTGCACTCACCAGATTTCATCCGAGGGAGGGGCTCCTGCTTTGCTCACCCTTGTGAAACTTCACACAGCTCTGTAGGAATTGCCTTCCAGGGAGATTCTGGCATGCACCCTTCATGCACACTGGAAAACAGGTGCAAGAGGGAAATTCTTAAAATGATGAGTTCTCAGGCCTTGGCACCTCATCACTGATGCAGCCAGAGCAATCAGAACCCCATTCCGTCAGGAGAAAATTTCCCTTCATCTTGACAAATCCTCCTCATTCTGTAGTCTACTAGATAACTCTGAGCTACTCAAAGCAGGCACATTAGGATCTTTTGATCCCCGCTATGCCTCTTGAAATGCAGCCAGCCAAGCACACCTACCAATTTGGCTACAGCAGCTAATTAGAGCAGAACGAGAGAAAGCAAAGCAAGAGTCACCTTCTTTACAAGTCACCTTCAGCCTCATTCAGTTGCGCTTGGTCTGCTCCAAGTGCCCCCAGTCAAGCTTTGCCATGCCAAGATGGGCTTTTGCCCATGTAGGGTCACACTTCTAGGAAGCCTCTGCACTCTCGACACTTACAAGCCCTGAGCAAAGGAACACTAATGGAACACGGACTTCATTTTTCAGAGACAAATTATTCCTGACTGTTCTCTGTTACCAGGCCAATTGAAAAAAGGAGAAAAAAAAAAAAAAAAAGAAAGAGAAAATAATTGGTTTTTGAGGATCAGTGCTGCCAAGCGGGTCACTGGCAGTGCGTAGCAGCAGCCTGGTGGGGATGTTTTGTTCGTTACTGAAGGACACATCTTGTTAGGGATCTCAGGAGAGCATCCCCACTCTCCAAGCCTGGCACGGTCCCTCTTGCTGTTCCCATTTGGGAGTGTGCTAGCACTCACATGGATCCATCATATGATCAGCAGGTTTTGGTCCCACTGCCTGGCAAGGAGCCTGGGCTTTGGACACTTTCTGGGGAGAATGTGGTGGTCACACCTCCTGATATCCCACAGGTACTGAGGGCTTGTTAACAGCAATGGCACCTGGATGGACACTGACCCAGCCTGCCTCAACAAATCTGTGTTGATTTTCTAACCTGGTGGCTGAAAAGGGGCTTAGAGGTGAGCAGGGTGGAAGTTCCTCTTCTTCTGCCCAAGGGAAGAGACTGTACCTTTCCAGAACTATACTCACTAGAAAAGCTGCTTCCTAGAAATCTCATGCCCTGCCTGTGCCTGCAAAAACAAGGATGGGGTCTGTACGGTAATATTGATATACCCTTGCACTGTTCCGTGTGCCAACCCAGAAGGAAACCCCTATCCAGGGCACAGGAGAGGCGCCCTCTTGCCTGTGCCCCAGGTAAGCAGGTGAGTGCCATGTAAACAGGTGACCTGGCTCAGCTGAAGGGTACCTTGGGTGCCAGGAGGACAGGACTGACCCAACACAAGTGCCCAGCCACATCGTCCCCAGGCAGCATCTGCCTGCTCTTCCCAGATCCTCAGGGAGCTTCAAGTGAAGAGTGACCCTATTTGTGATAGACATGTGAAACGTCCTGTCCTGCTGAGACAGGTGGGCAGAGAAAGATGCAGAAGCCTGAGCAATCCTTTATATCCCCTCATGCAGGCATATCCTGCGATGTCTCCTTCAGACACACAAAATCTGGCCTGCCCTGCCTGTGTGACAGCTGTACAGTTTGGCATGTGGGTAGAAAGGGGTAGCTCCTCCCTGCAGAGAAGGTTTCTATAGCACAGGATTAGGTCCCCTGGGAAGGCAGGAGGTACCCACTGTCCAGCCCCTTTCTCTGCCTTGACCAAAGGTGCTGTGACCCCAGAGCTCTGCTGTGTCTGGCTCTTGGGAAATTTCCTGCAATAAGGGCCTCTGCTTTTCACCCTGAAGTTCCTTTCCTATGGCACCAACACATCCACCAGAGATGCTCTGATGCAGTGAGAAATGCTCTCCATTCCTTCCAGCCTGGAAGTCTGGACCCTGCTCTCCCCCAGCTTTCAAATTGCATCCATCACCTTCCTCGGCTTGGTGGCCTTTAACCATAAGGGACGAGACAGATGTTAGCCAAAATCTCTTGAGCACAGGACTGGACCTGCATCCCCAGTAGGTCCTCTGGGCAGCCCAGCTCTGTCCTGCCCTGGCAGCCTGGCCAGCACAGGTGAAAGTGGCTCTCATAAGTCCATGACAACAGGGGCACCCCCAGGCCAGAGACAGCTCCAGGGCAGGGAGGGAGGCATTGCCCCATGGGTAGTGAGAAGAACTGAGGTGCCACAGGTCCCTCTGCACCAGCCGGGCACCCTCTGCTTCTCCCTTTCCAGTCTGCTACCAGCCTCTGCAGTGCCTGCGGGTAGCAAGAGGACATGGAGCAGGGCCATGCATCCATGCAGGGAGGACTGGCAAGCTCCCCGGGCAGGTCTGTCCCAGCAAGCGAGGGTGAAGCCGCTTCCCCAGGGCCAGCTGTGCTCATTAGGGAGGGTTCAGCCAACAGCACTCCAGCTTTAATGGGGAACAAAAGCTCTGTGGGGGCTGCAGGGGCTGAGTCACACAGCAAGGAGGGTGCAGGGCTCCCTGCCAGTCACGTTCTGTGGAGGAGTGGGCTCGGGGGCTGCCGTGCCCCTGGGAGGCACAAATTCCCCAGCAGGAATAGACAAGGGGAGATGGCATAGTTACATTTAGGACCAGACAAAGGTTAGGTAACTTGAACTGAAGGTGCCAGTGGGCTGTGGTTCCCAGGGAAAGTCATAGCCCTTCTCCAGCCCCTGCTGCTCCCAAGGTTGAGGTCAGGAATGGCATGGGAATGTGCTGTGCCACCGCACCCTGCAGCAGAGATGCCACAGGGCCACATGGAGTTGATGGATAGTGCTGGCAAGACGAATGAGCTGCTCCTGTCAACTCCCAAGGTAATACAACAGTCAGAGCATGTTGAGGACAGGTTCCAGCTCCAGTCATGCCAGACGTTCATGGGATGACACTGGAATTAGGGATGATAGCAATGTGTTCTTGGTGTAATTCATGACTGTCAGGCCTTGTCATGATGCAAGGGGCTAGCTCTTACAGACCTGAAGTTCAAATTTTCCAGTGCCTAGCAGGTAAAGCCTCAGCATGTGACTCAGGGGCAGAACACATCAGGCACATACGGGAACTCTGCAGGGATTTCTCACCCCAGCTGGCATCCACAGCACCAGGGTGGGCAAGGCTGAGGCAGGGGTCACAAAGTCCAGTCCCAGTCCAGGACAAACAGACGATGCAATTCTCCTGATGGATATGGGCAGAGAACAGAAGGGCCTTTCTACCTCTGGATGCCAAGACTGGAGAAAAAATTGTCTTGAATTACAAAAAATCAGGGATAATGTGGCCTCCTAAGTGGCAAGGAGCTGAGCCAGCTGGGAGGAGGGAGGCCATGCTACAGCCATACCTCTGCTTGGTTGAGTACCACTGCCCATTGCCAGGGACCCTGTCCCGGGGCAGATCTCATCCATGTTGGATAACTGGACACAACCACAGGTACTTTGCTCTGCTGGGGCAGCTGTCATGCAGTTTTCCAGGCTGCCTGGCTTCACCTGACAGCAGGTCCGGTTAAGACGAGTGGCTGAGACCCAGCACCCTGAGCAGCCCTCGTAGGTAGGCAGATGCCAGCTGGACTGCAAGCAGAGAGGGGTGGCTGAGTGGTCACCCTCCTCTGCCTCCCCAGACTCCAAAGGGTTAAGTGCCAGTTTCGAGTGTCTCTAAGGTGACACGAGGCTGCCTGCTCTGTGCAGCTCCCCGCAGCCCCCTCCCCACGCACACAGCACACACCACACACTCATGCTCACTTTCTGCTTTGTCTTTTGCGAGCTGCTGCAGTGCACAGGCACCTTCCTCGCTGCCTATCTCAGCCTGC